TTGGTAACTACAGCTCCCAGAATTCTGGGAAACCGCGACAATTCAAAGTGGCATTGTAGCTCTTTAAAGGTATGGTGTGAATGTGGGGGGAAAAGAAAGCAGATTCTGTAAGCTTGAAGTCTGCCCACCCCAGGAGCTTCACGTTGCAAGGAAAGTGGGTGGAAATGTGCCGGGGTCAAGGTGTTCGGTTTTCCTACAAGCCCCCCTCCCCCCCCAGCACCCGCCGTTTGACAGATTTCCTACTGACAGTGCTAGGTATAAAGGTGTTATGTGTGTAGGTAGGAGATACATCACTGGGAGGTGCAGCAAAATGGGATTTTAGCGTGAAAAGCATCTGCAAAAGGAGCTCTTTCCCAATAAAAGCAGCAAAAATTAAAATTACCCTGCAAATGGATTCATTTATGGTCAGCCTCTAACCCCTTCAAAATAAGTCAGAATTTTCTATTAATAACTGGTTTTGCTATTGCTAATAGCTCAAGCCCGTGGCAAGGCCTACCTGTCCTTACTAAACGGCTTAGTATATGCGTTAATGGACGTTATTGCTGCCATAAATTATCTCCAGACACTGACAAAAGGAGTAATATAAGGTATATTTTTTTAAAAGCACTAGCCAATGCATGGCTGAGTGATTGAGTCAGAAAATGAACCATACCTTGGGGTTAGCAAATGATTTTTCATCAGCCAGCAGGCTATTAAGCACACCTAGATAATAAACGGATGATTTCAGTGGTAATTCTGCTAGGTCCTCATCTTTTCCATTTTAACATTCCATGTTACTTTTATAGGATTCACACATTAGATTGATTTACATGGTGGAGGAGAGAGAGCCAATGATGTACTTTAATGTTGAAAGCAGTGCATTATTATTTATCCCTGGATCTCTGGCTCCCTCTCTCCCCTCCCTGCCGCCCCTGCCCACCATCACTCTTTCAGGAAATGTTTGAAAAATGCCCCTTGGGAACACATCATCCACACAACCACACTGGAAGAAGAGCCAGAGTTCTTGGAAAGCAGGAGACATATTTTACCCTCCATTTTGAGGGTGAAAGAATGTCCCCCACGCTTCTGACTCAGCTGCTTTAGGAAAGAGGAGGCTGCATTCCTTGCCTAGATGGGCAATCTACTGCATTCCAGATGTTATTGGACTCTAACTCTCATCAGCACCAGCCAGCAGGGCCAATGGTCAGAGATGATGGTATACCTTCCAACATTTCTCCAGTGAAAATAGGAACATCCTATTCCATTATTATTATTATTATTATTATTATTATTCCCCACCCATCTGACTGGTTGCCCCAGCCACTCTGGGCAGCTTCCAACACACACACACACACACACACACACACAAGCACTAAACATTTACAAAACTTCCCTATACAGGGCTGCCTTCAAATGTCTTCTGAAGGTTGTATAGTTACTTATTCCCTTGTCTCAGAGGTTGCATAACTCAATACCCTCCAACATTTCTCCAATGAAAATGGGAATGTCCTAAGGAGAAAGGGGAACATCCCAGGATCAAATAAGAAACTGGGGTGGCTTCTGTAAATCCAGTACTGTTCCTGGAAAAGGGGGCACTTGGAGGGTCTGTGATGGGAGTTGGAGGAGGCATGGGGTCTGCACCCCTGCCCTAGGCCAAAATATCCACATGCATCAAAGGTGGTACACAGCCAATGCTTTATCTGCACTTCCAGTGCTACATTTATAAAAGGCTTTTCACAAAGAAATATACAGTCAGGCCCTCTTTTGGTGTCCACAGAGTGTACTGGATATTGGTAGCTTTCCTTTTAAGGCCGCAAGTTTCAAGTTCGGTGTTGTTTCCTAACTCCATATAAGTCCTTTTCACGCATATTGCTCATGTGTAAGTCTTATGCATAAGCAGGGCAGGCTTAGGAAGAGTGCACTAAGCTTCCTTCCCTACCACACACTGTTATCTCCATTGACCTTTGTGAATTATGCAGGTCTAAATGGCATCGGTTTGCTTGTGCAGTTTTCTGGTTTTTGCAAATCTGAGGGATCGTAAAAAGAAGAAGAAAATCCTCTATCCAAGAGTGAACTGGAAATAGTTATGAGCACAGATAGAAAAGAAACGAAAGCATTGAGGAAGTAGTGGGCATGGAAAGCGCCAATTGACCCACCCAAAAACAAATTGTCTGATCCCAAGTGGAGCATTTTGGAGCCAGATTTTCCCCCACTTAACTGGATTATCCTTTACAGGGTAAACTTGAATTTAGAGAGGGGAAGCACCAGGACTGGTGTGGTTTGTGGGTAACATCATGCAGACTATGCACATTAAATGGGTACACAAACAGCTGCAAACACACAGTAAACTCAACTGGTAAAGGTAAAGGGACCCCTGACCGTTAGGTCCAGTCGCGGATGACTCTGGGGTTGTGGCACTCATCTCACTTTACTGGCCAAGGGAACCGGCGTACAGCTTCCAGGTCATGTGGCCAGTATGACTAAGTTGTTTTCTGGCAAACCAGAGCAGCGCACGGAAACGCCGTTTACCTTCCCCCCAGAGCAGTACCTATTTATCTACTTGCACTTTGATGTGCTTTCGAACTGCTAGGTTGGCAGGAGCTGGGACCAAGCAACGGGAGCTCACCCCGTCACGGGGATTTGAACCGCCGACCTTCTGATTGGGAAGCCCTAGGCTCTGTGGTTTAACCCACAACACCACCCGCGTCCCTAAAAGTCAACTGGGGACAAGCCTAATTTCAATTCTACATGCACCACAGGATGTCAGTCAGATTGCACGCCCCCCTATCTATCTTGGGAAACTGCTATATGCCGAATGCCAGAATCCAATGTAAAATTAGAATCTAAAGGTAATTTCCCTCCCCCCGCTCCCAGTTTCAATGTGTTTTAGATATTGACATCTGGCTCCTGCAGGATGCATTTAGGCAACTTAAATCTCAGATTGTTATTGAAATGAATTCCAAACATTTATTTATTAATGCTTAATGCCTTCTGACCGTATTTCTGCCCAAGGCACCTGCCGCAACAATAAAACGCCATAAAACAACAACCTTAAAACACTCACATAAAATTATCTAAAAACCAAAATTCAGTAGAAGAACCATAAAATGGCAATCCCTCAGACAGTAAAACCAGTGATAAACAGTAAAAGCAAGCAGACAATGTTAAATATCAATTTGTCAAATTCAATGCTCTTCGTTTCCTAACCCCATCTCTAAATCACATCCATAAGTGAGAATGTCAAAAATAACTGGATTCAACGAGCATACATTGGATTTTCTTTTCCTCCTAGGAAGTTCAGATTCAAAACTTGAGACACCTCCTTCACTTTGTATTTCAATTTGATTCTACGGCAGCACAAAAAAAATCCCAAAATTAAAGTTGAGTATGCATGCCTGTACATTAGCTCTCCTTGCAGAGTTTCTTTCTCTAGAGTTTAAGATCCATCGGGATTCCTGACTTCCTAGGAGGCATGGGTTTCAATCAATAGGGTACTGCCCTTTCTTAGTTAAACTATGGCATTCACTCCCGCAAGTAGTAGTGATGACCCCCAATTTAGATGGCTTTAAAAGAGGATTAAACAAATTCATGGAGGATAAGACTATCAAGGAGTACTGGTCATGATGCCAGTACGCCTCTGAATACTAGTTGCTGGGAACCACAGGTTGGGGTGTAGTCCTGCTGCCCTCAGGTTCTGTTTATGCTGTGGCGGAGAAACCCTCTCTGGTACCTGGGGCAGGGCATCCCGTATGGACTGCGCATGTGCAGCATCCCGTACAGAGTGAAATTACTGAAGGCAGCATACAGCATATTATTAGAATGGGAGACAAAAGATGAAGAGGTAAAATCAGTTATGATTAAATGGGCACAAGATGTAGGTCACAACATTATGATGGAAGATTGGGGGAAATTATGGAAAACTGATTTAAAATTTACAGATTGTTCCCTATTGAAGGAGAATTACATGAAGATGATGTACAGATGGTACACAACACCAGTGCAGTTAGGGAAAATGTACAAAACTAGTTCACATATATGTTTGAAGTGTAAGGAAAAGGAAGGGACATTTTATCATATGTGGTGGGATTGTAATGTAATTTTAAAAAATTGGAAAATGGTATACAATGAATTGAAGAAAGTGTTCCATTTAACATTTGTTTAAAAACCCGAGGCATTTTTGTTGGGGGTTGTAGGGAAAGACCTGCCAAAAAAGGTGAAAAACATCTTCATGTATGCGACAACGGCCGCGAGAGTTCTGATAGCACAAGGATGGAAGACTGAAGAAACCCCAACTAAAGAATCATGGCAAGAAAAATTGACGGACTATGCAGAACTGGCATAACTGACATATAAGCTACGGGACGAGGATAACTGTGACTTTAAGGATGAATGGGAACCTTTCACAAAGTATCTGAAGATGCAACAAAGTGAACTGGACTCCTTGGCAGGTTTTGAATAAACATTCACAACCTTTTAATTGATAATAATCAGCTAAATAGATTGAGGATCTATAGAACTTTGTAACATGCAGAAAACAGCAGTCTCAGAGAAACCAAAGACTGGAACTGAGGGAAGTCGGGGGTGGGGGTGGGGGTGGGTGGGTTTTGTGGGGGGGAGGGAAAATGGGGGGGGGACAAGGATGATATGTTTTTGAATAATATGTCTTGTTTTAATTTTGAATAAAAAAGTAAACAAAACAAAACAAAACAGAGTGTGCATGCATGGCAGCCTGTACGGTTGCCGTGCAAGAGGCAGCCCGTATGGATGGTGTGTGAGAGCGGCAGCCCGTATGAACGCCGCACAAGCAGCGCCCATACAGACTGCGCGCACCCTCGTCCGCTCTACAGCTGGGAGGCCATCTTGTCACACACCCCCAGAGTGGCACCCAGGGCCGACTGCCCCCTCCGCCCCCCACTTCTTACGCCCCTGCGCTTATGGGCTTCCCATGGTTGGCCACTATGAGAACAGGATGCAGGCCACTGATGCACCTTTGACCTGATCAGGCAGGGCTCTGTTGATGGGGATAGCTCAGTTGCTCAGACTGAGTGTGGTGCTGACAACACCAAGGTTGCAGGTTTGATCCCCGCAAGGGACAACTACATATTCCTGAATTGCAGGTGGTATGACTAGATCATGGGTAGGCAAACTAAGGCCTGGGGGCCGGATCTGGCCCAATGGCGCTTCTAAATCCGGCCTGCGGACGGTCCGGGAATCAGCTTGTTTTTACATGAGCAGAATGTGTCCTTTTATTTAAAATGCATCTGTGGGTTGTTTGTGGGGCCTGCCTGGTGTTTTTACATGAGTAGAATGTGTGCTTTTATTTAAAATGCATCTCTGAGTTTTATTTGCGGGGCATAGGAATTCGTTCATTTCCCTCCCCCCCCCAAAAAAATATAGTCTGGCCCCCCACAAGATCTATGGGACAGTGGACCGGCCCCCTGCTGGAAATGTTTGCTGACCCCTGGACTAGATGCTCCTCAGGATCCCTTCCACCTCTATGATCCCATGAGCTAGTGCTTCTATGAGCATAAAGTGTATGTTGCTTTGTTAAAGGCTAGGCTGCATCCAAATTGTTCCATGTCATAACCCTATTAACACATGATATGCCACGAATGAGCTACCGCTCAACATGTGCCCAGGATGATACATTTTTTGGCATCATATTCCATACACCTGGGAGGTGTGAATGTGTACGCAAAAGAAAACGCCTGTACAAATACGAGGAGAAAAGTATTCTGCCAAATATACTGTTTTCTTAATATATTCCTGTCTTCCTTCATTTACTACAATTATTATTTTCTTGAAAAATAAAATTTACAGTTACCTGGTAATTACACACTGCCTAATCCAGTTCTGTAAGCAATAATTTTCTTTTGGTATTCTTTGTATCTTGTGCTTTGCTGGATATTTTACTTTAAATTTAAACGAGCGCATACCCAGTGCCACCCCCCACCCCGGCAACCTCCCCTTTCTCAAATAGAAGACTATCTCCTGCCAAAAACTTGCTAGCCATTTGTTCCAGCAAATGTTATCGTCTGAATAATTTCGGATCCTAGTTACATTTAGCAGGGCAAGCACTCTTGTAACTACCCAAAGTGTCGCAGAGATGATAAGGGAGGGTGGGGGGATGATAAAGAAACAAAAGGGATACACGCCAAGCAGGCAACGAGGGACATCATTAATTCACAAGGCCCTGATTAACTAGAGCATGAGTCTGTATCAGCCAGCAGGAGGAAGAAGCAGAGAGAGAGAGAGAGGATTGCATCAGAGTGGCACAAACTCCGATATCAACTGTGCTAGGAATCTGCTAATATCAGCCAACTCTGTTCCCTAACTCATTCCTTCTGTTGTTGCAGCAATGCAATGTTGCTATTACACCCGGGTAATGCCTGCTTTGACTTTTTACTCCCAATTTCCACCCACGGATAAATGAGATTAGGCCTGCAACTGGAAATGCACAGTCTATTAATTAGCACTGCATCCAAAATCCTACCTAGTGCTGGGGGCTGGGGCAGGAGCTATGCTCATTGATAGAGCCCGTGCCGCCTGAGCCGTTTAAGGACGTGCACGGATACTTATTTTTCTAGCTACTCGAGTGTGCAAAACACTTTCCAGTTACCGTTGCGTTAATCTTCACAGCATCCCCCACGAGGCCGACAGGTTAGTATTATTGTTCCTTATTTAATGATGGAGAACTGTCCAAGCCTGAGAGAAAGCAGTGGTCCCCAGTGCGGGGCTGTGGCAGAGGCACAAATTGAAAACCTTGTACAGTCATGACAAGTTTCTCAAGAGCCAACCAACTAGGCCACTGTGGAGGGGAGCTTTCAGGCCTTTTCTGAAGATTTGAGAACCATACCCAAATGTGTTGCTTTTACAGCACACTTGAAATCTGCAGTAAAGGGAGAGATTAATTTTTTTAATTGTCAGGGAGCAGAAGTTGAAAAGTACAGTCAATGCTCACAAAACACCTATTATAATTATTATTATTATTATTTGTATACCACCCTATACCCGCAAGTCTCAGGGCGGCTAGCAATAATACTATTGCTGCTTACCTTATCTTCAGGTTTTATATTTAAAAGAAGTTGTTGCTAAAGCCTCCCTCGAGCTAGTGAAATATTTTCAAAAAACAACTGCCCCTGTGATCTTTGGATGAAGGGCAGCATACACATTCAATAAAGAAGAAGAATGATTCACTGTGGGTACCTTCTAGCTTTTTAAAAGCCTAGATTAAAAATA